AAAAAAATTTATATATGCATACATATACACATGGTTATCTATATAAAATAAATTTTTGGATCCTCTATGCTTTTCCACTCACATGTTTGTCCATTAATGTGTCAATATCATGTCGTTTTATATTCCTCTTTAAAATCTATTTTGGAAAGTTCACTCTATTTTTTTTGACAAGTATGTCTTCTTCCATAGGAACTAAAAAGTTATTTTGTAAAGTTCCAGAATAATCTCATTGGGGCTTGAGATTGTCATTACATTACATTTATAATGTAGGAAGGACTTAGTTCTTTGAATTTGAAAGTTTTTAATAAATCTCTTTTATCAAGTCTTGTTCTTGAACTTTTGATAGTTTTATAATTTATATAGATACTCTACCTTTCTCATTATATTTATAACCAAGTATAATTCAATCAAGATTTTACCATTTCTGTTTCTAATTAGCCTCTTATATAGGAGAAAACTGACTTTTATGTATTTATGTTATATAGAACCATCTTGCCAAATTTTTTATTGGCAATAACTTTTTTGTTAGTACAACATCAGCTTTCTTAGGTATGCAACCTTGTAATCTTCAAATAAGGATTTTTAAATTTCCTCATTTCTGCTATTTAAGTTACATATTTAGTTTTCTTATTGTATTAGCTAGAACATCTATAATGTATTGAATTACAATAATGTTAGCATCCATAACCTTTTTTTAGTTCCTTGTTTTTGTAAGAAGGACTTAGGATTTCACTATTCAATATGATGCTTGCAATATGATTTTGCCAAATAGTCTTTTTCATGTTTAGCATTTTTTTCTTTTCATATTTTACTGGGAGTTTTGCTGCTGAGTCTTAGTAAGTGCAAGTTTATTATATATTTAAATAATCATAAAATTTGCACCACTTAATTTGACATAAAAATTATATTAGACCTGTTAATGATGATCCATCCTTGGATCTCTAAAATTAATCTTATGTGGTCATAGGTATATCTTGTAATTGTTTTAGTACATTTTAAGATTTGATTTTCTAAGATGTATTTTAATTATAATTTTTGCATCTGCATTGATATGTGATTTTGGTTTATAATTTCCTTTTTTGTTAGTTCAGGGTTTTGTGTGTAGACTATGCTGGCCTCTTAAAAATGAACTCTCTACAGTCTGTAAATATTAGGCTAACATAGAATTTATGTATTCTTTGATTAATAAGTAAAACTACAAGTGTAAAACCATCTGGGCATGGTGACTTTTTAGAAAGCAGACTTCCAGTTTAGTTCATCTTTGATCAGATCAATTCTGTCATCTACCCCTGATCAATTTTGAGAACTTACATTTTCCCAGGAGACCACCTACTTTCTTAAAATTTTCTAATATATTGCACCTGAATGTGACAAAATTTATATTATGTTTTAGTCACATTTGTCAAAAATTTGCCC